ACCCCTGTGTACGGCCGCACACCCTCTGTACGGCGCAACTCCCATGTACGACCGCAACACGTTCTGGCCGCACACCCTGCCGCACACACACTCTTTTGGCCTACACCTCCCTTGTTTGATCATATAGGGTCCCGACAAGCATTTCCAAGTCTTTAGATGTTTTCCCCGTCACGTTTAGTCATGAAACACCCTAATTCTAACACATTATGTGTTACTAAATGTTAATAGGATCCACTTGCGTACGAAACACGTTGACACTCAGCACTCGTAATCGATCATACACTCAGATCCTACGCCACACAGTGAGTTCATACCCCTACGCCTTTTTCCAAGTTTTTCATGTTTTTAGGGGGGAGAATACAAGCAAAGTTACGAGGAAACTTAACTCAAAGTATAATTATTTCGTATAATTACTTATATTTCAGTATGCTTTTAAACACAGAAAATAGTTTACCATTGATTAAGAAATCACTAGTAGAAACAGCTTTCCAAAACTAAAACAAGAACTTGTGAATCTTATCATAAAATGTGATATTTTGCAAAGGATTCATACAAAACATAAACAGGATTTTTCCGTACTATTACTTGTAAATTTGTTAGGGCTAAGTTTGAGACACGTCCTTGGTAACACTCCACCGGATACGAGAGTGTAGGACTAATCCTTGTAACCAGAATCTCTTGGAGGGAGAGCGTGACTATTGTGTATAGATCTGTATGGGACTGACTATCCCGCAGCTCCGCTGCTAGCTACAATGGGACCGTTAGGTTCAGTGGTGACAAAGTCATAAAAAGGTACTGGCCCCGTTACGTGCCTTATCCAGTCTAAGTACGGTTATGACACTCACAACTTAGGTAGCGAAAATTACTTTTGTAATAATGAAAACAAGTGAACTAACCTCAAAGTAATAACCGATTTGATTACTAGAGGGCATTAGTAATGCCCTTAGGATCTAGTTCACTACTTATTTATTAGTTTTATTTATGTAATAAGGCTAATACATCTCACCAAGAATAAACAGGGTTTTTCAAGGAAACTACATCTAACGATACAAGTATGGTAGATACTTGTACACCTCATTCCAGAACAGTTAACCAACTATCAACTTTTAAGGAAAATATAGGATTTTCCTGGGATAACTCAACTTTTTCATAAACAGGCTGTTAAACAAATAACGATTGGATAGTCAAACATCTTTCATAAGAAAATATAGGATTTTCTTGGGAAACACTTTTCAAAGGATCAAAGAAACATTTCTTTCACCAGAACTAAACGCTTATGAACTCACCAGCTTTATGCTGATATTTTAAAACTGCTTGTATTCTCAGGGCAACAATAGACAGGTACTCTTGCCAACTTTTGGAGAAGACGGAGCATTTTGGAGTCACGTCTTTTACTTTTGTTATATACTGTTATGTACAACCCATGTTTTTGAACAATTTAAATATTCATAATATAATGTAATGGTTGTGTTTACTTCGCTTACTATGATACAACTCTTGTGATACTACGCATGACGTCCTCTGCCCCGGAACGTTTCCGCCATCGGTTTCGGGGTGTGACAGCTTACCTGTACTACCTGTTAGTGCCATAAAGCAGTTTATTTATTATTTTTTATTTGTTTAAATCGTGTACGACAGCGGTCTTAACAGTGGCGCGAGGGCATAAGTTGGAGAACTTGTGAAGATGTTTTTGTTTATAGACCAGTATTTGTATATAACTGTGTAAGGTCTATGTTTTATTGTTTATGCTTTTGTGTCTGTATCGGAACATGACATCCCGAGCTTTGATATATAATGAAAATACATTTCCTTAAGAAATGCTTTGATAAACTTTATTTTATCATGTTTTGTTTTTGGGGACAAATTCCGCAACTCTTTTAAATCAATGGATTTACTCTGAACTTATTTTAAAAGCATAAATGAAACCGGTCTTTTCTGGCCGTGAATTTGGGGATGTCACAGCGACCCTTGTTCTTGGCACAAAATCCATTATCTTCATCACAACCCGCCTTTATCTATCCCAACTTCTACTCCCATGTTTATACTTCAGATTAAGATTGTCTAATCCATTTACAACCTGATCTTCATTTTCCTCCCCTGTTATGCTTCATTGGATCTTCATTTTCCAACAAAAAAGTAGCCGACACCTCGCTTAGGGTTTGGTCGCAATCGACCATGGCTACCAGGTCCGCCTCCATACATATGTACCTTTGGATCTCACACTTGTATAGTTGCATTTAGCATCTGACACCCAATTCTCTCTCTAGACTCTGATGTACCACCGCCTCTCCATAGCAACAACTACCAGAGCATCTTCACTTCACTAACATGTCGCCAACATCGATCCTATCCTATTTGAATCGATCAATTCTTATCACGAATCTTTTTCCAAAGTCAATTCATCGTGAATTCTCAATCATCGTCAATGGAATTGTAAGTTTATTGTCCTCTTTGTTAATCACGGTAACTCCACAAGTTGTTTCACATGTCAATGTATTGTTTGAGATGATCGTTCCTATTTTTCAGTTTCTTCCTTATCGTGTTTCTCTTTTTGTGTCAGTAGGATGAATTCTTAATGATTCTCGGTATTTCTTCATATGATTTCATAGTTTATGGGTTAAAGTTGGTCTCACTTTCACTGATCAGGTATGCTCCAATGTATTCCTCTTTTGTTGTTTAATCCGCATAATATTGCTTATTATTATATCATAATCCTATACTGGAAGTGCGTAGATTTGCAAGTTTCTCAGGTTGATAGGAAATTTGCTAAGTTTTAGAATGTTCACTTATTTATAATTCTTTTGTTTGTTCAATTTTGGGTTCTTGTTGATCTTTTAACTTGAATTGTTTCCCTCATTTTGGTTTGACCTGTAGACTAGGCAAGATTACTAGCTTTGAAATCTGATTTGTACACCCAATTTTGCTAAGTAAAATGATGTCTTTTTGGTTCATTTCTTATTTTTCATCTTACAAGTCGATGTTTTTTATAATGGCTTTTAGTATGCAGGTGTGGTGGAATTACACATTTACAGTCTCCATATCCATACATGTATCCTAAATTGATAAATGATTTCACTATAACTCGCCTGTTGGTAAGTGCTAAAAGATGGCAAAAGGTGATCTCGAATCCATACTTTCTTTTCGTGGGCACCACCTTGATATTCATTTATGATTGTAGCTTTATCTATTAATGAATAAAAGTTCTAGAATAATATATTTGAGCAAGTTGCACCCATAAATTGAAAGTCCTGTGAAAATGATGCACCTAGTCCTTGATTATGTGATTGGTGGGATATTGAGTTGGAGCTAAAGCTTGTTAAATTACAAGGTGGGGGTTCTTGTTTCTAATTAACTTTTTTTTGTTTTCTTTTTTTAGGTAATTGAATGAAAGACAAAAATTCATTATGCGTAACAAATTGAAAGTTGCAATATACAAACCACAAGACTACAAGAATCAGAGACAACAAAGAAAAATCAAAATATCAGCTTCATTGGATAAGCCACAACACAATTTCTATATTGCAACTATTTTTGTGTCTTATTCATTTAAGATTAATGAAAAATACCTAAATTATACATTGAAATTTCTTTTTTGTTTTGTGTTATTCATTTATGATTATAGGTATATTTTAATTATCTATACAACATATTTTATTCATTTATCATTATAGTTGTATTTGAATTTTATTTAAATAATATGTTTTATTCATGTATGATTAACAGTTTGTTTTCTACCCGGCCGTTGTATATATATGTATGATTAATAGTTTTTGGTATATTCAAGTATGATTAATAGTTTTCCTCTTATTCATTCACGAATTAAAACCGAATGAATCAGATACTAGAAATTTTTTAATTTTTAATTTTGAAAGAAAATTTGATGATTATTATTTTTTCATCTTATATTAATGAAACAGAAAAAAGCATTTAATTATGTTTTAAATATTCAATAAGAATCCAAAGAAAATATATTTATTTCAATATCTTTAATATTTGATTGATAGAAGTAAAAGAAAAAAATATATTTTTTTTTAAATTATAATGTTAAATAATAATTTTTTAATTTTTCGTTAATTAAAAATAGAATCTTTATTTTTTTTATTCCTGTCTATAATTTTGGAAACCGAAGGTTACATTGGCATCCATTAATTACATATAACGTATTCATATTAAATTATATTGTAAATTGTCTATTATGTCCTTAACAAACGATTGGTCCACAATCATTCTCGTGTTCTCAGCCTTATCGTGTTCTCAATATAACCTCTCTCTCTCTCTCTCTCTCTCTCTCTATATATATATATATATATATATATATATATATATATATATATATATATATATATAAAGGTGATAGGTGTTTGTATACATTTTTTTATAAAAACGGATTTATATATATTTATATACTTAATAAATACATATTTTTATAACTAGATTTCATATACAAAAAACTTTTTAAAAAAAGTTTTTATATAGAAAATATAAGATTTTTATGTGAAAATACGTTTTTTTTTTGTATAAATATGATTTTTATAAGGAAAAAACATATTAGAAACAATTTTTTGAGAAAAAAAGTTGTAAAAAAAACTGAAGTTAGAATGATTTCATAGTAAAATTCTAAAATTTGGACAGAAAGGGCAAAATTTAGACCAAATTTATAACAAAATTTATAATCTGGGCCAAAAGTGTAAATTTTAGACCAAATCTGTAATAAATTTTAAAATCTGGGCCAAAAATGTAATTTTTAAAAGTTGGATGACCTGTTGACCGGGTCAAAGGATTAAATTGAATACGATTACCGGTATTTGAGACTTAATTGAATAAAAAAAAAATATAGACTAAATCGATTATGAGGTCAATATGTAGGGACTTTATTGCAGTTTTCTCTATATATTATATATATCAAGTATGAAATTTTAACATTTTATTACATAGCTCTTTAATATAACATTTTCTATAGCACATTTATTCAACACGTATTTGAGGTAGCACAACAGTTAGCCAAAGATATTGAAATGCTCCACTTCAAACTAGAACGAATCATATTGCCGAAAATATCTAGAAATGTAATATTACTACTTTGAAGCAATGAGGACACCTATTTTAGGCATACTCATTCAATATTCAATCTGTGCAAGTGAATTGAAGAAAAACAATAGATTGTAAACATGAAACTAGTGTTCTCCAAACAAGGTGAGATGAGATATTCTGGTACATGTTCAACCAAAGGCCAAAGCACGAAAAGGGAAGGATGATATCCTCTTAAAGACGGGGTTCACAAATCCTATTAGATTTATTGAGCAAGGGGATTAGACAAAATTGTAGCAAACAAAAATCCAAAGATTTGCTGAAAACAGAAAGATTCTTCATTCTTGACATATTGGACATTTATGTTATGTGACAAACACAAACCAAGTTTCAGTAGCAACAACAAGAACACAAGATGCCTTCATTCATTCTTATGACACGTACATTATTGGTGGCAGATAATGTACACACACGAAAAAAAGATGTGACAGAGGGTATTTAGGTAATTACCCTCTCCAGTTATCCTTTCGTTGCCTTATCTCACGCATTGCTTCAACAGGGGACTTGCATCCAACTTTCTCCTGCATCATAATTGAAGTCAAAATAAGACCTTTCTTGTGCCAAACTATATGAAAAAAGTCAAAAAACAGCAAGAGTACCTGAATTTGAGGTAGATCAGATCGCATGAAAGGATTAGTTTCTAATTCCTGTTCAATGGTTGATGGAATAGTTGGAAGCCCAGATTCCCTCTGCTTCTGAGCCCATGATAACTTTTCTGATATCTTCTCATTGTCTGGTTCAACTGTTTGAGCAAACTGCAGATTCTTCACCGTATACTGACATGACATGTATAAAAAATGACATCTACTATTAATTAATTTTAGTACAAACTAACAAATACAAAAACAATATACTGTATTAATTTACCTCATGCCCACAGTAAACTTTAGTTGGTTTTGGCAAAGAAGCCAAAGTCACACACAGTGACTCATGCATCTGTTCTGCTGTCCCCTCAAAAAACTTGCCACAACCAGCAACAAACTAAAAAAAAAAATACATCATGAGAAAAAAAAAATGAAAGTAGCATTTAGCCCAAAATGTACATCAAGAAATTACAAGATACACCCACCAGTGTGTCGCCTGTAAACACAGCAGGGTCCTCTTCTTCTTTCCCAGTTACATAGTAGCTTATGTGTCCCTTTGTGTGGCTGACAAACCAACAAACCACATTAAAATTGCGATGTAAAAATATTTATTTATTTCCTATTAGAAGAACGGAATTTAACTAACAGTTAAAAACTTTTATTAAACTATGATAAATGTTCGTTTATGGGGAAGAAAAATACCATGGTGTGTGGAGAGAGAGTATATTGATAGAATCCCCAAGAGATAACTTATCACCATTTTCTAGCTTATTAGTACACCCTTTTACATTATCAACAGAACCTCCATAAACCTTAATCCCTGGAACCAACTCTTTGATCTTCTCATTGCCACCTGCATGATCCCTGTCACCAATTTATCATAAGAAACAATATCTGTTGTTTAGAAAGCTTGTTTTCACATCCATTTGATGAATGTATAATCCTTTCACATCTGAGACTGAGATATCTATTAGGGTTCATAATTTTGTATACAACTGATCCTAGCCAATGGACCATAAGTATCAATGTAATCTATTCCCTCTTTCTATATGTATTGTATCTCTTAGCAACCGATCTTGATTTAAATGCATAATATAATAGATTAATCCATCCAGGTTGAGTATTCTTTTGAACACCCAGTAGGGTTAGGGTTTTGCCATTACCACCTGCTTTCCTCTGAGCAGATGATAGTCTTCAAACTTATCTATATAGTCACAGACACGTACTGCAGCTCCAGTGGCCAAAAACCATGGATTGCATGGTCAATAGGAAAACTCGCAACAGCCACCTGGATGAGGATTTTCCGTTGATGAAATCTCTCAACCAGTATTATCTCATTATTCACCCATAATCAAACTATAATAACCTAATTGACCTCAATAACTAGCAGAACGTATACTTCCCGCTTAAAATCATCAATTATCAATAGCGTTTTCGATGAAAGGTTAACTAACCAGTGGTGATGAGTGGTGAGGACAAGCTTAAGTTCAACACCATTTTCTTTAGCAACTTTAATAATCTTCTCAGGCTCAACTGGATCCACTACAGCTCCTTGTTTCGTGTTCTCATCAATCACCCTGCAAAAATACAAACACGGTAAAGCGCAGTAACGGTAGATTGTAGAGTCAATAGGAAAACCTAAATAAAAAACGATCAACTAACTGAACTTAAAAATGATCAGAATCGAGGTTCATACAGGTAAGAATAGTTGTCTTCCAAGCAAGGGATATGAATCACCTTCATCTTCAAGGTGTGACCGATTGATCTGATCAGTAGGATGATCCTGCGAATAAAAATTTTAGGCCGGTGCTCGATTACGTTAAAGCTTGGGTCTTGAGAGTTGACCTCCATGGACCATGGCCCTCGTATCACTTTTGATTGGGCTGTTCTAACATAAGCCCAGCAACACGATAACAGACCGATTTAAATCATTATGTTTTCTTATAGGAGATGTTGGAAACGATAGCCATATTTTCAATAATCAATAAAATAGTTATTATTTTGATTTTTTTTATACATAAATAGCCATTTGATTTTGCAATAAACGATTACAAAATCATTATAAGGGACGGATTCAAGTTCTCAAGTGGTTGAGTTTTTATAAGAGATATTGACAAAAATAGACATACTTTCAATAAAACAGCTATTGTATTGCTTTTTTCTATAAATAACCATTTGATTTTGCCATGGGACAGTTGCAAAGTTATAAAAGGTGATTTTCCAGTCTCTGTTTCATTTCCTAAACTTTTTCTTTTTTTGCTGGGTATTGTATTGCTTTTTTTTTCTATAAATAACCATTTGGTTTTGCAATGTGACAGTTGCAAAGTTTTAAAAGGTGCTTTTTTAGTCTCTGTTTCATTCTGGGAAATTGGTTTTGAAGATCCCAACAAAATTTAACAAAAATCTATAATTTTAATAATAGTACAGTAATACGAACAATTTTTGTAGTGTATTAAAATGTTTTTACTATTCCTTGTGGTGGTGACTGTTAAAACAGATTTTATAGTTGGTTAACGGTGATGATTATTTATTGGAGAAATTTACTATTCTGTTAGAAATTCTTCTTCCCTATATCAGATACTTTTTTAGTTTTGTTATTTTTTTTTATAATATTATAGAGGGAGTGGTAACACTCTTAGCATTTTGCCACATATTTTTTTGCCTGCCATGTCATCTTTTTGTCTTAACACTTAAATCTTAGCATTTCATAAGGAGTGGTAACACTCCTAGCACTCCAAATTTTTTTTCTTTTTCAAAATTAATTAAATCATATTTTTTTAAATAACTTTTTTTAAACCACGAACAATTAATATCAAATAAATTATATTTTTGAAAACACAACATTTCATATTAAATTAAAAAAGTTATAATAAAGTTTTGCAGGGGGTTTTGTGCTAATTCTAAAAATTTATGTTGTAAAAGAAATTGTAAGTTGGGGTCTAATCTGTCATAAGGCTAAAATCAAGGGACCAAAACTGCCAAATCGTGAAATCTGTATCATCTTCCTCCTCTGCTACCTGACGAACAACTAATATTTCTCGTTTTTTTTTAACCTGCAAATTTCGATTTCTTGCAAACAAACTCATTTTCCAATCACATTGTCTCATTTATTTCTCTCTCCTTTCGCTATACCTTTGACGAGCTCCTCTTAACGAGCTTCATAGCGAACATTGAGGGATGGTATAGCATCTCTTGACGAGGCTGTTGGCGAGAGGGGTGGCGAGGCCACTCCCTCAAGCCTAACTGATTACATAATCGGTAAACTACATATTGCTTCCATTTGGCTTACATTCAAAAGAACATGACCAACGTGGCTTACATATTTTTTTAATACGTGGCGTTTCAATTCATCTGCAAGATCTCGACGTGGAACAAACCCACAAACCCACTCACTGTCTGATTCAAAATTCAAAAATCAAAACCTCATACACAAAACCACCGGCTTTGACGTTCCCCTTTCATACAACCCACCGCCCCTTCCACAAATCGACCTTACGATTACTTTTACAGTGGAAAATGTCTTCACCACAAAACCCAGCGACTATGGAAAATCTCTCCGACGATGTTTTCTCATACATATTCATCCGATTACCGGCGAAACGCCTTGCTCAGGCGAGATGCGTCTCTAAATCTTGGAATGCTCTATTGTCTCGGTCCTCCGTCGTAACATCCCACCTTCATCGATCTATCCGTCACAACGATGAAATTTTATTCGCTTTTTCAGACTTACTTCCTTTTGACCCTAAACCATTCACAGCACACCCCTCTCAATCTCCCCACCAAGAAGTGGAACTCACTAATTTGATCAAACTCCCGATCGATTTCCATTTAAGACATGCTTCTGGCACTCTCATTGGATCTGCTAACGGTTTAATCTGCTTTCGATACGAAGATTCTCATGCTCTTTGCATCTGGAACCCTTCTCTCTCCGCAGTGTTATCTCTTCCGCCATATTATATGCCCTCCAGTGCTTATAAAACTTTCACTGCTCTGTTCCGGTTTGGGTTTGATCCCAAAACTGACGATTATAAAGTTGTTAAGCTTGTAAGATTCATATATGGTAACGATAAATACTTCTGTAGAGAGTGGCAGCAAGTTGAGGTGTATAGCATGAGAAAGGGTTCATGGGAGCCGATCACCCAAAGGTTTCCATCCGATGTCGAACATATTTACGGTGAAGATAATGTTTGTGTTGATGGTCACGATGGCCATCTTCATTGGCTTGGTTATACTGATGAGATTATAGAATCGATAGTAGCCTTTGATTTGGGTGCAGAGACATTTCGTGTGATACCTCTTCCAGATTCTATACAAGATGGCCACAGTGGACACATCTCGAATACTTTAGGAGTTTTGGGTGGAAAAGTTTGTGTGATGTCATGCGTTATGGATGAGGAATGTGAGGTGTGGATGATGAATGAGTATGGGGTGGTTGAATCATGGGTGAAAAATCATGTGTTTTCGGGGTTTAGTGGCAATATAATTCCATTTGGATTCACATTACGCAACGAGTTTCTTTTTCAAGTTTCACAACATGGTTTTGGTTTGTATGATCCTGTTGAAGCCAAGACTAAGATCTTTAAAGTTCGTGGTAGACCATATACCACACGTAAAGTTGTTCATTATGTTGACAGTCTTGTTTGGCCAAGGGTGAGATGAGCATCTGGTGAAAAGGGCTACAAAACAAAAGCAAGAGGCAAAAGGTCAGATTGAATGTTTTGTTATAAGTACTAGTTTGGATGATGCTATGTTTCTTAATTAGGTTTATGTCAAATATGATTAGATGTTACTTTTAACTTTTTCCCTCTGCTTTATATATAGTTTATTGGAAATCCAGAATATGTCCAAATGTTAAACAAGGTAAAACTTCTCAAACTAAACAACAATGCCAAACAACTAGAAAGAATGTATATATCTAATGCATTAACAACTAATACTCGACATAAACCTAATTATGAAACATAATCATCATCCAAACCAGTTATAACAAAAGATACAATTTGTTATCTTTAAGATTGAAATTGTGAGAATATGGAAGAGGTACCTCACCTCACCGATTGAGCATTGCTTGTACCATTTTGTCGATTCGTTTTTGAAGTCCTCCAAATTGTAACATGATCATCTCAATCCATCAAAATAGCAACCAGGTCGTCATAAATCGCACACTAATACTGTGGAAAATAGGCTAATTTAATCTCAAGGGAAAAATCCATTTTAATTTGGGCGTTCCATCAGTAGTTTCAAAAAAATCAATATTCATCAAAACTTCTGTAATTTTATAAGTCATAACCTTTCTTTTCTCACCAACTAAAATTTGATATCATTACAAAATTTTGATATATTAATTTGGTTCAGGTTATTTTTTTATTGTCACTATAAATAAACATTATAAACATTTAATCCTTATCAATCTTTCGCATTCCATTTTTCCTGTGCAACATCAAGGATTCAGACGAGCAAGGATTATTGGCACGAATAGTTAATTATTTTTTCTAGTTTTATTATGTAGTTTTTATTTTTAACTAATGAAATATTTTTATTTTTATTATTTTTTGTGTTTATTAATTATTATTTTTATTTGTAGTATTTAAAATTAAAATAAATTTATTGTGAAAAAAAATGAAATTAAACTGAACATATCCGGATCTTTCATCTTATTCATCAAAGAAAACATTATGCCAATCCTCAACCAGTATGTTAAAGGTTCTGTCAACCTCCATTTACAAAAATACAAATAGTTTTTTTTTTCTCAAGTCTTATTTTATTTTTTACATTAAAATTTACAGTTTTTAGTATATTTTTTGTTTCAACTTATATAAATTGTCAAAAACACTTTCAACTTAATCTTTTTTTTTTAATAAATTTATTGACTATCTTTTATGTTATTATAACTTTATGTATTATTACAAAATACAGTGAAATAAATTATTTTATATATTATTAATTAATAGAGATTTAATATATAGCATAATATTGTAATTAATAATTATTACACTTATAGTATACCTAGTCATATTTTATAAGTTAGAAATAGATACACACTAAATTTGACGGATTAAAATTGACATGTGAAACTTTGACATTAATTTCATGTAAATGAATAGTATAACATCAAATTTGGTGATATACTATTTCTTTACACCAAGATAGTACAAGAAATGGGGTGATATACTATCAAATTTTGATGTGATGTAAAATAATAGGATATGCACCCTCGTTGGGAAATCGGTGTTTAAATTAAGAGAAAAGTCAAGGTTTAAAGACTTTCAAAAACCGAGTACAACTTTAATGCAATTATACCAACACAACAAATACTTATAAACTCGGGTTTTTACTCCAACTACACAATATTAAAACATATTGGGGTTGCAAAATAATAGAATTACAAGATACTCCTCTAGGCACAAAATAAAGGATGTTACATACAAACAAGGTGTAAGAACCTGATCTTACTAGAACAAGTGAAGTGCATGATCATTACATATCCATGTTTACAAGTGAAGTGCATGATTATTATATATCCATGTTACATTACTGTATCCAATGACCTTCACATGCCGCATAAACAAACATAGGAGAGCAAATATATCCTGAGATAATTTGCTGTTTCAAGAATAAAAATTACTAACACGTATTTATGAACTTTCCACAAAAAACGAAAAGATTTTTTTAAGGATGCTTTAAGTTAGCACGCCACTTGTCAATAAATGCCAACTCGTCTTCATTCAAGTGTGGAAGCTCACGATCTTTAAGGTTAGTGATTATCTGTGCTGTCTGACCGAGAATTTGAGCTGCTTCATGGACACTCGCCTCCCGTTTCTCTATCTCCTTTGCATGGCATTTAGTTGTTATGAGTAGCGGTAAGTTGGTGAGACACGCAGCCAATATGTCAGCGATCATTGATGATAATAGCGCAAGTAGGTCCTCTTGGCTAACACGGTCAATATTCTCATGATAAGAGCGCAAGAGTGTTTCGGTGATACGATACATTGAATTGGCAGAAATAGACCTGTATTTGGAGTCATCATTTTTCATACTTCCCACCTTAGTGACCATGTTTCTAGATGTGTCCCTCAAACATTGAAGAATCTGTCCAGCTGTCTTCTCGGGTTTTGGCAGCTTGTTTCCTAACCATTTGCTGCGGATTTCAACTTCAAACCATAAAGTTTTAGCCACCTTTTGAATGTATTCATGGTCATCGGTGGCATTGAGGCTTTCTTCCACACGTGTGACATAAAAAAGACCTTCACTCACACCACTCAACAAGCCATCAACTGTATTTTTCGAGATGTTACGGAAAGAAATGGCGATAGCTGTCAGTGTTACCAACGGTAAGCTCCAACAGTTGACATATTCTTCTGAACGTAAAGATGGAACAAGAGGGCTGTCAAACTTTTCAACTCCTTCAAAACCTCTGGATCCCTTTAAAAGCTTGATAAGATTGTTGGGTTGTTTTTTTTCAGCATTTTGGATCAAACGATTCACCGATTTTGATATGCCTTTCAATGTTCTCTCTGCAAACTCCGTGTCGTCTTCAAGTTGCAAAACATACAGGCTATCACCTTTTCCTTGATGCTCTGGATTTTTTACCAACACGCTGCGTGAGGAGCTAAACATGGCCTTTAACCGCTTCCAACAATAGGAAACGCATATCAAAAAGAGAAGTGGAATAACCGCTATCATCTTGCACGCTACCACAACTGTCTCCAGAAATTCTATGCAGATGCTGAGAAATAAGATTTTTATATTCTCAATGACAATCTTCCCTCTGCGGCTGGGGCTACTGAATGGGATTGGTATGCTTCTCTGTTTCCAATCATATAACTTCTGAGTCCAGTAGCTCTCTACGTTAAAGACCTTGATATGGTTCCTAATCCATTTTTCGGACAACTTAAAGCTTAAGGCTGCAAAACATCTAGAAATAGGGGCAAGTGTTCCCAATATGACTCCGATAAACTGTATTATGAGAATCACTAACATTGACCACTTATAATCCGTATCATATTCCTTCATATCTTTAGTGTGATAAGGTATGATAATATAAACGTGTAATGCAGTGCTTATAAGACATATTACCCCAGAAGCAGAAGTTGTAGCAGAGCAAACTGTTATGAATTGAGGGCTTCCGGTTCCTGCCATGATCCAGTAGTTTCTCACATGCTGCTTTAACTTTTCAACGGTTAATCTTCCTTTTTGTGGTAGCTCTAGATCCTTTAAAGCTGTTTGATGAGCCGCTTGGTATTTGGATTCTAGAATCTGTTTGGTCTTGAGAGTTGCTAAAGATGAACATGCATATATTATGAGCAACATGAGTAACATAGCTACATAAATCGTTGCTATGAACTTTGGGCCTGTTAGTAATACGCCTAGTTGTGTATATCCTACTTCAATCTTGAAGTGCTCCTCAGATGTGTTGTAGGAGAGAACACCTGTGTTTATTTGAATGCAAACGTTCACAACCAAAGTGATCACCAGAATACCTAAAGCTATCATGTTTGAGACAAGTTCCTTGCTTTCCAAGGTTGCTAGAGAAGGCAATAGATTCGCCATCATGGTACACATGAAGCTCAAGCTTCCAAGCTTTGCAGTGCGATCCACATGGCTTGGCATTAGATTCGTGAGATCATTTGGTAGCTTTATTGCGACAGCAATCACAGTAAGAGAAGCAGCATTCAAAGTGAAATAGTTACATGGAAACCATAACTTTCTGTTACGCAAACCATGTAATAAATCAGCCACCATTGCAAGGTTGCAAAACAGAGATGCTAATGCGATATACATCCCAATCCACAGCATGGGTTTGCCATAGTGCTCTTCCTTATCTTCCTTGTATGCCAAGTCCTTCAAGTAAGTTTGGCAATAATCTGTAATATTCCCGCAATACTTTGTAACTTGATGAAGCGGGTCAATTTGCTCATCAGATCCCATGTATTCTCGTCCTTCAAAAGAAATGAAATGCTAGTAATTAAAGGGGTGTAAGGAGATATCTGCAAGGCGGATGATCTGTTTTAATTGAAAAAGACTTGAAATGAAGGCCAGGGTGCAAGCCAATTAAGGAGATGACAGATGATCACAAAGACTTAAAAAGGAGGTATGTTGTTTCGAATAATGCCTGCTTTAATTAAGAATATGAAACTATGGAGGACTACCATGCATATAAAAGAATATTAAATCTTTTTGGTCCTATAAAACTTCAAAGCTTTAATCCTCCGAATATGATTTATTTATTCGTCGATAAATTGACGAATGCAAATGTTAAACCTTTCAAAAACAAATACAAAATAATTCGATTATAATTTATGTTGTATGTATCGGTGATAAAGGTAAATCGTAAAGGCAAATTACAAAGGCAAAGTAAAGATAAAGACAAATGCAAATTCGCCATTGCATCCTACTCACTGGTCCCTCAATCAACTCAACTCATTTGCTTGTTCTGTTTTTCTTTTTTAAAGGCCATAACCTATATATCGGATTATAAAATAAAAAATATATGGATCAGGAGTAACTATCAATGATTAAAAAGTACACATAGGTGGCAAGGGATTACAGGCAATTGGGAAAGGAAATTCATGTGATAAAAACACAGCTTGCTTTATTATGGTAACAGTAGCATTAGTCAATTCACGTGGGAAGCAGATTCCTCAGACAAGATATTTCACGAAGATTTATCAATTATGCAGATAGTGGTGTACAGTTATTTTCCACCATGTGTGGACCAGAATTCACGAACATCCTGCAATCAATATAGCACAACTTTAAAAATTCTACACAAAAAATGGGAAATCAATCACATTATGTGGACCATTATACCAAAGTATATATATGTTGTATAAAGGCCATTATAGTATAACTTATGATGCACATTATACAAGTTGTTAAACTGGGTTTCGTGTGACTGCCTTCACATCTTTCAATTGCTTTTAAGTTTAACTTACATAAATAACCCTTACAATTTTACTTTCTATTCATAAATCATCCAATTATATTGAATGTGTTTAAGAGTGAATACAAATTTACAGAAATGGCCCCTTCATTTTTTTCTTTTATTCACAATCCATACAAATTATAAAAATACTCTCTTGACTCTTTTTTTGGTAAAATCACCTACACTTATTTCTTATAAATTTTTGTTGTTTTGTAGCCCATTATCATACAACAAATAAATTTTAAAACTTGGATTTTTCGAGAAAAAAAAAATATTACTTATTTTTTTACGGAACCATCATGCCACATATCAAAATCCGACCAAATATTTTGGTTTTTTTATAATTTTCAACAATGTGCTTTTCTTTTTCGTTTTTTTTTTCATACATTCACCTTTTTTTCCCTAATTTTAATTTTTTTTATTGTTTTCTTCCAAGATTTAATCAAAAGTTCTTTGAACTTAGTTTTTTAATAATTTTTACGTCTTGTATGTGATATGCTACACCGGTTTAATCAATTCTTATTTAAAATACATAAAAACTCACAGCAGAGCGCGGGCTCAAATACTAGTTTATTAACAATATATAACACTCACTTCTATAGTCAAAAGGGAATTGATACACTAACATCTAGAGCCTTCATTCGCCTTTAGCAGCAATTGCTTTACGCTCTAATCAACTCTTGTCAAATAAACTTTTTCCATTCAACGCATTATCACCAATATAGTGTTGAAAGTATATAAGCAATATTTGTCTTAAAGAATATAGTTTAAGTTGGTAATTATGTTTGGTAGTTAGTGTCAGGAAATTATGGCAGTTAAGATTAGTTCTTTAGGGATAGTTAGTTATTAAATGGTAGTTATAGTTTGTTATTGCCAACCACCAATTTATGAAGAGTTGCAATGGTTACTAAAGACAATTATAATTTCAATGCTTGCCTTCTCATTAAACAATGATACATATAAATACAAAAGGATTCATAATACTAAGGAAAGGATATACACCATAAATACATATACAGAATATATCTCGCTAAGAGTCCCCCTCAATCTTAGCGGGAAGAAGACGGACGCTGAGACTGTCTCTAAAATCAAGAAATAGCTGTCGCGGAAGGCCTTTGGTGAATATATCAGCATATTGATAAGTAGATGGAATATGAAGAACTCGTATTTGACCAATAGCGACCTTTTCACGGACAAAGTGTATATCCATTTCAATGTGTTTGGTACGTTGGTGTTGCACAGGATTACCGGATAAATAGACAGCAGAGACATTGTCACAATAGACGATCGTGGCATGTTTCAGGGGTGCATGTAACTCGAGAAGAAGGTTGCGAAGCCAACAGGCTTCAGCAACTACATTTGCAACACCACGGTATTCGGCTTCAGCACTAGACCTTGAAAGAGTGGCTTGACGCTTGGCAGACCATGAGATGAGATTGTCACCTAGAAAAACGCAATATCCGGATGGAGAGGATAATAACGTAAGACCATGATCTGGGGTGCCTTTGATGTACCGTATAATCTGTTTTAAAGCATTAAAGTGACTGATTTTTGGAGCGTGCATAAAGAGGCAGATCTGTTGCACGGCGTATGCTATGTCTGGACGTGTGAATGTAAGGTATTGGAGAGCTCCCGCAAGACTTCGATATAGAGATGGATAAGCCACAGGATCACCGTCATGAAGACTGAGTTTGGAATTAGTGTCAACGGGAGTGGTGACCGGTTTGCATGCTTCCATGTTGGCACGTTTGAGGATTTCTTCAACGTATTTGCGTTGAGATAAGAACATGGTGTTATTGGTGCACGTGACAGCAATCCCGAGGAAGTAAGATAGCAGGCCGAGATCAGTCATGTCGAATTCCCGTTTTAGAGCATTGAGGAGCCAAGTTTTGAGTGTTGTAGATGAGGTAGTTAACACTATGTCATCGACATATATAAGTAGATAAGCTGTCTCATGGTGTTTTTGGTAGATAAATAAGGAATTGTCACTCTTGCTGCACACAAATCCAATAGTTAGTAAATAAGATGCAAATCATTGATACCATGCACGCGGTGCCTGTTTTAACCCATACAAGGATTTCTTTAATTTGCAAACATGGTCCGGATAACTAGTGTTAAAAAAACCAGGTGGTTGGTGCATATATACGGTTTCCTTCAAATTACCATGTAAAAAAGCATTTTTCACATCCAATTGATGAACATCCCAATTTCGAGCCATGGCGAGGCTAAGAACGGTGCGAATGGTGGCCAGTTTGACAACCGGGCTGAATGTTTCATCGCAATCAATACCAACCTCTTGTGTTTTTTCCATTCACTAAAAGTCGTGCCTTGTAGCGCTCCAAAGTGCCATCTGCCTTAAACTTGTGCCGAAATAATCAGTGACATCGAATAACATTGTGATTTGATGGTCTAGGCACAAGATCCCATGTTCCCTGTTTCAATAAAGCATTATATTCAGTAGTCATAGCATCGAGCCAGTTTTGATCTTGTAAAGCAACCCGTGGGTTGGATGGGATTGGGGATATTTGTTGAGTGTGGAGTGTGTATTTGAGGTTTGGTTTGAGAATTCCACTTTTAGATCGTGTATTCATGTGAGAGGATGGTGGAGGGTTAGGGATGATAGGCGGTGGTGGTGGTGGGTGAAGGTGGTGGTGAGGTGGGGAGGGTGGAGGTGAGTGTTGTGGTGAATTTTGAGGTGAGGGTGGGGGTAAAGGTGGTGGGGAGCGTGGTGTTGTATTCGTTGGGATAAGTTGAGGGTTAATTAAGTATGGTGATGGGTCGTTTGTATCTAGAAACTCATAGGATTCAGCTCGATACTTTGCAATATTAGAATAAGGGAAAATGTGTTCATGAAAGGTGACATGGTGAGAGATGATTGGTTTAGAGTTATCGAGTGGTAGGCATAGATAACCACGATGATTGTATGGATACCCAAGGAAGACACAAGGGATGGATCGTGGGGCTAGTTTGTGGGGGACGGTGGATGTGGTGTTGGGGTAACATAGACACCCAAATGTTCGTAAATGTTTATATGTGGGGGTACGAAGGTAAAGGATTTGAGTTGGTGTTTTGTTACCAATGACACGTGATGGTAGGATGTTGGTAAGATATGTGGCTGTATGGATCGCATTGTTCGAAAATGAGGGTGGTAGTGACGCATGAATTAAAGATGTTCGTACCATGTTATTGAGGGTTCGAATTGTGCGTTCTGCCTTGCCATTTTGAGGGGAGGTGTATGGGCATGTGAAGCGAAGTTGAACACCATTGGTGTTGCAAAACTGTGTGAAGGTTGCGTTGTGAAATTCACGTCCATTGTCGCACTGAAAGGATTTAATGTTGGTGGAAAACTGAGTTTGGACATATTTGTAGAATTGCGTGAGGAGCAGAAAAGTTTCGGATTTGACTTTAGTGGGAAACGTCCAAATATAATGTGAAAAATCATCAAGTAACACAAGGTAGTAGTTGTGGTTGAGTTTACTTTTAACAGGTGATATCCATATATCAGCATGAATAATATCAAAGGGTAAATATGTAACAGAAACATAATCATCAAAGGGTAATCGACAATGTTTTCCCAACGAGCAAGCATTACATGAAAACAAAGTATTTTTAGAGCTAGAAAACGAAAGACACGAATTTAAATATTGTAAATTAGAAACTGCTGGATGACCAAGACGGTTGTGCCACATATTTGGAGACTTCGTATAAAAAGCGATAGGCGGGTGCTCGTTGGTAGGTGATGGTGTTAGTGGATAAAGATCACCAGGGTTGTCACACCGGGTGATATGTTTCTTCGTGATTAGATCCTTCACAGTAAAACCGAATGGGTCAAATTCAACAAATGTATTATTGTCACGATTAAATTGTTTCACAGCAACAAGGTTTTTGATGATGTTAGGGACAAGGCAAACATTGTTTAGGCGATAAGGGTGATTAAGGTATCAGGTGATTGCATTTCCATGACCAAAAACTGGAACTCGATGGCCATTACCAACCAAAATATAATTATCTTTATTGAAACGAGAGAAATTAGAGAGCTTACCAGCATCGCTAGTGAGGTGGGATGTTGATCATGTATCCATATACCATGAGCTATCGGGTGGTTGCATTTGCATGGTTTGGAATGCTTGTGCAAGTTCGGTTGGTGTCATCGGGCTGGAGTGGGCCGATTGTGAGTCTGAAGCGAAGTTGGCTTGTGGGTCCGTGTTGACTTGCTGTTGCTGCTGGGCCGGTGAGAATCAGATGTTTGGACGAGGCCCCATAATTCCGACCTGAGGAGTTGTGGGGTACGGGCATGGAGGGGCGGACCAGGGGTATGGGGGAAACCAATCGAGCCATTGCCATGGGGTTTACTGTGACGAGAATCTGCCGTTGTCACGTTCGCGTCCTCTGTCGCCTCATTGTCCGCCGTGAGACCAGCGTCCATCGCCACGCTGATTTCCCCGGTTTTGACCACGACCATTGTAGCCTGAGTTATGGTTATTAGTGTCGTTGTTGGAGTTTTCGAAAGTGCCGGAGTCAGCCCGTTGAGTGACGAGGGCTTGGGGAATGGTGGGCTTAGGCTTGTTGCGGCGGGCTTCTTCAAGGAGGAGGGAGGATTGCGCTTTTGTGAAGCTGGGAAGGGGGTTGGTTTGTTGTATAATGGTAGCGACGGTATCGTAATCCCCCTTTGTGAGACCGGAGATGAGTTGGAGGACCGTCTTCGTTTCTGACACCGGGTTTCCAACGTTTCTAGTTGATCGGCTAGGTTCTTGAGGCGTGCGCAATATTCAGTGATGTTAGAGAAGGCAGAGAGATGGGTGTTGTTAAATTGTTCCTCGAGGTAAACTGCACGAGTGTTTTTATTATCAAGAAATATTTCTTGAAGACGCTTCCAAAGGTCAAGGGCCGATGCACCAGGTTTCATGATGGTGTGAGCGAGATCTGGTGTTATGGTGTTGTAGATCCAACATTTGACAAGGGCATCAAGTCAATCCCATGTGTCTTTATCAACATCGGTGGGTTTGGGGGTTTGTCATCGACGTGATCTTTCACGTTGTAAGCACATACGTGAATGTTGAAGAATTCCACCCATGAAGGATAGTGATCGTCAGATCGGTTGAGAATGAGAGGTATGATATTCTTGATGTTGTTCACTGTGAACGCCGGGTGGAAGGTGGATTGGGTGGTTTGTGCGTCGCCTGGCATGTCGATGAGATGAGAAGGAGATATGGAGGGGGAGGGAAAAAGAACAGAGGTCGACTGTTGTGGAGGGTGCGACGGCTTAGGGTTAGGCTAAAAGAGGCTCTGATACCATAAAGACAATTATAATTTCAATGCTTGCCTTCTCATTAAACAATGATACGTATAAATACAAATGGATTCATAATACTAAGGAAATGATATACACCATAAATACATATACAGAATATATCTCACTAAGAGTTACAAAGGGTTGTGATGGTTGAGATGGTTGTCTACATATATATATGTGTATGTATCATTGTATAGACATAGAGTTATTAATGAAAATATATATGTTTGTAGAAAGTTCTAGTTTGGTTGTGTTCACACATATTACTGCAGCCACTTTCCTGCAATTAATGTTTTATTTGTCTAATTAATACCAACAAACACATAGCATGAATCATAATCAACTTATTTTCTATCTGTTTTGGAGAGATTTATCATTTGCCTTTGGCAGTGGCGGACGGTAATAGAGGCCGGGGGGCCATGGCCTCCCCGGTTTTAAACATTATAATACCCCATATATAGTTTACTTATCTAATTTTACCCAACACCCAACAGTAGTCAAATTGATTAATTAGGTCCCTCTGTTTTTATAAAATTTAGTTAATATGCTAAAGAATCTAAAACAAAATAATCAAAGAAACACCCGAAAATCACTGAGCAAATCATAACAGATTTGTTAACTATCTCTTAAAGATAATAAAAATAATGAAAATCTAATCATATTAACAGAAATCTTAACTCAAGCTTAGAGTTTAAGAAAACAAAGCCCGAAAAGCTTATTCCTTCCATCGGAAAACAAAGCTTCCATCCAACTTCATCTCCGCCACCGGTATCCGACGCCGGAATGTTAGCTTCTCACGTTCTCCATGCACCATCTCTCTCCTCTCCGCCAGCCGTCGGACTATGCGCCACCGTCGTTCTTGCTCTTCTCAACCGGCCGCTGCCTCGTTGGACTCGTTACATCTGATTTCCGGCGTTCATTGTGCCTGCTGCTCTCCGCCTCTTCAATCTTCTCTCCACAAGAGTACTATATCTATATCTGTGAGCCTCTTTAGTTTTCTCTTTTATGTCTTTATTTTCTCTCACTAAAACTTATTATATAAAATATATTAGACATTGAAATATGTGAGCTATATAAATATTAAAAAGCAGACCTAGTACTAGTACTAGATGACAACTAACATCTATTAATTTTAATAATTTATACTTATTTATTAACAAATTTGTTATTGTTTTATAATGTAAATTAGAAATATCTTAATTACATATGTATTTATAAGCTTTTATTATAAAATGAAGGCATGTTACCTATAAAACGGAAATCATTTTTGGAGGGACTGTTTGTTTTTTATATATTCTTTATTATGTATTTTGATAAGGAATTCGATAAAAAAAAAATCAGCTGTAGAAAAAAATATAATACCTCAAAAACACAAAATATTACATTTATATTTGGGTATACAACCTAACGATATTTTATATTAGTTTTTTTCGTTTACACTTTTAGTATGTAAATTTTTTGAAACATTTCTTGTTATGTGGTTATGTTTTGTCGTTTTAATTCCGGCCCCCTAATTATAATGTTTGTGTGTTCCGCCCCTGGCCTTTGGTCAAAGTATGGATGAATACATCAATCGTAAGATTAAAGCTTTAAAGTTTGATTTAATATTTTCCTATTAAGTACTACTTAATGCGTATTTATATGTTACTTGAGGATTGTATATTACCCACTTTAATTATTAAAGTTTCATGAGCAGGATAAAGTGATAGATATAAACATGATAGTTTTCTTTTTAAAAGTAGACATCCAAAAAACCAAAGTTGATAGCAATAACAAAAAGATAGTTTTTAGATGTTCGATGATGCTAAATTACATGAATAGTACATCTAGTTTGGGTTAATTTGCATATTTGATCTTAAACTTTTTTTTTAATTTGGATCATCCCCATGATTTGTTTTGTTTTGAATTTGGAACCTAACCGACTTAAAATGATTAAATTACAATATATATATATATATATATATATATATATATATATATATATATATTAAACACTTAAAGATCACAAAATTTTTTTCTGATTTTATATATGAAAAATCGCATATTTATTTAAAAATTTGTTGGAAAAAAATAAAAAATCAATTTTTTTTTTAAAATTGATTTTTTTTAAAAAATTGGTTTTTTTTTAAAAAAAAATTCAGCAAATTTGTAATAAAAGGCGTGATTTTTTCAAAAAAAAGTTTTGTGATCTATAAGTATTTTTTTATGCATTTTTATGATTTTTAGGGTTTTTTGTTTTCCATACAACCTAAACCTATATATATATATATATATATATTATATATATATATATATATATATATATATAGTTAATTTGTAATATATCTTTATGTCCTTTATTAACATAAAATTAACAAGGGTCATAAGTACAATCCTTATGGGAAAATGACTTATTAAGGTAATTAAGTTTCAAATTTATTCAAAAAACATCTTTTAAATTAATCATGTACAAAAAATATCATTGAACTAAAGAAATCATACACAATATATCATCTAAGTACGCATTTTGTTCTAATCTTATCTTAGATAACTGGATGATTTAGGTTAATAGGCAAAAGTGACCAACAAAGAATGACCATGAACCTCGCAACATACTCGCATAAAAGTAAAACCGTTCGACATTATTTCGATATTCAAAGATCATCATTGACAAATATTAGATATTTTCCTATAAGGTAGGGCATTCATGGTGGGCCATGTCTTAGGAGACATAATTACATCAGATTTTCAAGAACCTGAAGTTGTTGTAAATGTAGCTTCATCTGTTAGAAGTTTATTGGATTCATCAACCGAAAGTGCAAGACCAAACCATTTAAACCAAAACATTATACTTATCACGAAAAAAAATCTAATGTTCCAACAAACATGATTATTGACCAAACTACCCCTTGCTCCCTTAAAATTCTAGATCCAACCCATGTCCATTGAAAACTTCAAACATTCATCAACGAAAGGTCATATAGAAACATACATTCAAAACTTCAGCACCGCATTTTCATTTTCATCTAAAAAATTAAAGTATCATTTCTTTTTCAACACTATATTAAGATGTGAAATTCTTAAGCAAGTCGAATAGAAAGAAACCAAAAATATAATGTTGTAATACAAGAAATCAAAAGTAGAATGCTATAATAAAATGAACGAAAATACATTGCCATGTATAAAACACAATATAATATATTGTAATATAAACAACTTTGAAATTTCTATTTGAAATCAACTTTTTACATACTTATTTTAACTATATATAATTTTTTTAGTATAAAGTAATAAGAAAGAAATCAAAAGTAGAATGCTATAATAAAAGGAAGCCTCTGTTTTGCCACATCAAAGTCGTTATTCATGAATATATTATAATGTAATTGTGGTTACAAGAACTCAGAGCTTTGTGCATAAATGGACCTTTATGAAAAAGAGCAAACTATTTTAGGGGTTTTGATAAAACAATAATCAAAAGTGTAAACAAAATATAAATTAAAAATGAGAAAAAGTTGTGCATGTCTGATATGAAACAGAAAGTTATGTTTGTCACTGCAGGAATCACCTCCTTACTTTGCAATTGAAAAATAAATAAACATGAGATATTTGTCAAAGATTGACATATCCACATCTAAAAAAATAATTATATTCAAATAATAATAAGAATCTTAATCATATGTACTAAAATAAACTTACAAAGTGAGAAGAGAAAAGACTATAAGAAACAACACATACTTAAGCCAAAATTCTGAACATGGTATTCTAAAGTCATCCACCATAGTATGTCCGCATAACAATGTTCGTCCCCATGACATTTTCATGTTAGCCCTGATAAGCCCTAATGGTGATGCAACACAAGAAAAAAGTGTCAGCCAATAGGCAGAAGTGCATTGTCTATAACATTAATTTATTAAACCAATTGAGGATTATCCAATTAAATTAATCAAAATAATTTAACCTTTTCCTCTCCCCCTAATTTTCGAAAAACATGGGAGGAATAATTCATATTTTATAATTATCCAATTATTCACATAAAGAGATAATTACCAAAAAATAAGAAAACCCTATCATGAAACCTTAATTTTCGAAAATTTCTATTCTTGGGGAAGAAGGCAAGGATTTCAATCCTTGCCATATTTTGAAAATTAAGAGGGTTTAGGAAACCCTAATTTCGAAACTTATAGGGCAAGGGAAAGGGTTAAAACCCTTTTCAAAATTTCGAAACCTAGGGTTAGGAAACCCTAATTTCGAAAAACCCTAAGTCCAAAAGGGTTTAATTGCCATAAACCTTAATTGATCAAATTCAACCAATTGCAATCAAATTCAATAGAAAACAAGCCAAGGATCTGATACCACTGATAGGTTTTGAGCATAATAAACAATCATATGTGTACATGCAACCCTAATTGCTTTGATCTATGTTTTCTCTAATTGAACATACAAATACTGAATATCAAAAGGAAAACCCTAGGATGTATATACTATTTTTGAAAATCATAATATAAGATAGTAAACATACCTTTGATTGTTATGTAGTAATAACAATGTAAATCCAAGAGTTCTTGAAGCTTGAGAGCAAATGCCACATGTGTCACACCTCTAATGAATCACACCCAAACCAAGCAAGAGGGTGAGAGAGGAGAGATGATGATAAGCTCTTAGAAATTCCGTTATCTTTCTGGAATTCAGAGTGGCCGAAAATCACAAGCCCTATGGGTCTATTTATAGTGCAGATAGGATACACTGGGTAACCCTAATTTGAATAAAATATAATTAATTCAAATTGATAATTATCCACCTCCTTAATTATCAACTTAGGATACTATAAAAACCCTAATTATCCTTAGTAAAACCGTCCACCACCTTCTAAGAAGGTTCTAGAACCCACCATTTGCCCAACTATTGAGCAATTGCACTTTAGTCCCTGTACTTTCAATTAATTATTTTAATCCTGAAATTAATTTCAATTAATTTCTTATTAAATATCAATTAAATAATATGATTTCTAATTAATATATTATTTTCATAATACATTAATAAATCATTTATTTCAATTTATTAATCAAATAATAAATTCATTCTCTCGGAGATGTCATCATGTCTAGTTGTTAGTTATGAGGGCAACCCAAAATGACTGTGTTACCATCAATTCAAAGATATATATCAATTATAGTTATGAGCTTAGACACCTAATCCAACAAAAAACTCCACCATTTTCTCATTGTAAAAATGTTCAGCGTACAACGGCCATGTCATCAATGGCACACCGGAGTCGACGACTTCAAGCACTGAGTTCCAACCGCAGTGGCTCAAGAACCGTCTGACCGCCGGATGTCTCCACTTGTGGAGCCCACTCCGTCATGATCAAGCCCTTATTTTCCTTTTCAATTCTCTCCTGAAAACCTTCCGGCAGCCCACCAATTTTTTCATCTCCAACCTTCTTCCTCACCACCCAAATAAACGGTTGTTTAGATTATTCAAGTGCCAAAGCAATTTCAATGATCCGAGCTTCTGGGAATTTCACCATTTGATAATACAAGGGTTTTTTCAAGCAGTTTCTGAAATAATAATAGTTAAATTGTATCAATTGATAATATAAGAGTTTTTTTTTTAAGTATTCCACGGTATAATATATAAGGTTTTGGTGTGGTTTTCCCTAAGTCTTAATATTATTCGGTCAAGGACAAGGCACAAGCTCCGAAGCAATCTAGATCTTTATATAGGTGCCGTTAGATCTGTGTGTCGACACTCCCACTAACCTAGTTTCTATCTTCTTTGAGCAAGGACGCAGACACTTTTCTTCCCACCGGGAAATCTAAAACATTTGTAAACTTGCTACGACATACAAAAAAAAAAAAAAAAAAAAAAAAAAATCCTCTCTTCAGTTTTCTGCTCAGTCGTTCTGACCCCAAATCTCAACCTCGCTGGCTTGCCGCTGCTTCTGGTTGTCGGCAGATTCGCCGTTCACGGTATGTCTATCAACGGACTAAATATGCTCACAAAGTCTTGTTTTGTTTTGTTTTGTTTGTTTATTTATGTTTCTGTTTCTGTTTCGGTGTTTGCCTCCGACTCGATGACAATCAATGCAGGATTAACAAATAGATTAGATCTGTGTAGGTCTAAGAATCTGACAACCAGCGAGGCAGTGATTAGCCCTTAAGACTAAAGTGATACCAGCAAAATGCTAACATCCCTAAATCGCACGTACTCTAAGTTATTTCTGTAAAAAAGTTGAATTGAATGTATCATTCAACAAACTAAAACCTTCAATATATATTTTATATATCCTGAAGTTTCACATTCGAGTTATAGTTTTTAACTTTTAGATCTGGTAATGTTGAACATTCTGCCATCTTTAAATGTTGTATGCAGCTTCATTTCATTTCTGCCCAGCTATATTTTTGAATGAACCCGGTTTCACTTACAACACAACACCACTGCAACAGTTTATAAGTCTATTCAATAAATGGAATATACCACAATTAGTTTAGCTTTTCAACACTCGTAGCACTTTACTAGAACACTAGTAGTACTTTTAGCTGGTAATTGTGTTAATCAATATATGTTAATCGTAGTACCTGTCGATCATATTTTTTTTATTTTATTTTATGTTATATTAATTATATCGTGACAAACTGAATGTTTAACAGCTCTACTCCCTTCATCCACCTCACAAATGGCGAAAATGACCACAACATGAGCAGCTATGGAGAAGAGCTTTCTAAATTCCATTGAAATCTAAACCAAGCCAGTGAAGATGGCAAGTCATGGCAATCTACACAAACTTTGTCTTGATCGATGAAAATCTTTGAGTGATTAACTCCCAGGAACCCTTTCTTATGCTATAAACCTCAACTTGCAGCCACTCTTTACAACAGTACCTAAATAGGCTGCTAATATCGGGTCCGGTGGTTCCAGAAGGCTTTGTAAGCTTAACAACTTTGTAATCATTAATTTCGGTTTCAAACCAGGGAAAATAATTTTTGATCGAATAATGACCATGTGAGGGCACATAATATTTTGGTTTGATACCAAAACTGATGATTGCAAAGTTGTTAACCTTGCAAACTTTCTCGAACCATCAATCCAACATGGACCCGACATTAGCAGACTATTTAGGCATAAAGGGTGGCTGCAAGTTGAGCTTTATAGCACGTGAAAGGGTTCCTGGGAGTAAATCACTGGAAGGTTTCCGTTGAACCTCACAAGGATTTACTATTAAGATGGATTTGTGTATATGGGCATGATGGTTCATTGGATTGGTTATAGTGTGATTTGGAGGAGTGGAATTCAGATATATTTGTTTTTTCTGTTTTAACTAGTTTGTATGATGTTATGTTGTCATTTTTGGCTACTTATTTTGTCTTTTGTTGTAACTATTTTTAAGGATGCTACATTTATTGATTACGTTATAATACTTTATAGTTTATATATTCCCATGGTACTTTTATCTTTCAACTTTAGCCCAATAACATTGTTGTCTAAACTGTTCAAACGCTAGGCCCAAATTGTGTCAGTTTACTTGTTAAATATCAATACAGCAGAGGCTAGCTTTTTCTTTTTCTTTTTCTTTTTCTTTTACTTTTACTTTTTTTTTATCTTTTATTTAACATATAATAGTTACTGTTGATATAAAGTCAAGAAAAATTTGATCTCTGGAAATGGTTTCATTACTCCTATATCATCGTCGTTTTAATTACTTTATTATTATTGTTAGCTTATTATCTGTTCATGCTTATTGAAATTATTTTTTTGTATATTTTTAAGTATTAAAATTTAAAATTAGCATTGTGTCCCAATCCAAAAGTGTGCATATTTTATTTTACAAATAAAGAGACATATCAAAATGAGTGAGATATCATCAAAATGAATATAGCTCATTTTTTATATAATGCTCCCAAAATAATTACCAACTAAAATTATAAAAGTTTTTTTAACGGTAACATTGGATTAAACAACCAGCAAGAAGCTAACAGCAAAATTACACAATAGTCATGAATACAAGAGTGATGATTTTTAGGCATGATTCCTTTGATTTTAGCTAACATATTTTTATGTCTTTTTTGAACTATTTTATTGTAATTTGGTGTTTGGTAAAACTAAAAATAGCTTATTGTAGCTTGTAAATTAGCTTGCCTTAAAGCTAATTTGAAATAGCTTCTGAAAAAGATCATGAAGTTTTTTCAAAAATATACTCTTGAAAAAATTTTCATTTTATATATTCAATCTAACTTATTAGCTACTTTACCAAATATTATTAACCCATAAGCTAATTTATCTTTTTCAGTTAAAAGTTATATTTTCAGCTAATTTGCCAAATATGGTCTAATATAATTATAGTTGTTAGTTTACACATGGGATAGCCACATAAATAATCAAATGTTATTTTGAAATGAAAGAAATGATCAAAAGTTGAAGTCTTTTGTAAATATGACCACAAAATCTGAAATGACCCTGATAGTGAAGTGTACAGTTTCTGATAAGATGGTATTTGTAACGTCCAAATTTTCATAACAATTTTTTTATTTTTGAAAGACAACATTTTATTCAAACATTCATTTAATTATGATTAAAGCCACGGTTTGACAATCAAGTTATTTATTTAATCAAAGTGCAATAGAATATGCAGAAAACTAATACATGACGTCGATGCTAGTGTACAGTCAAGTTGTGCCCTTCTCACGATCTGAAGAAGTATTTGAAATCATTTGTAATCAACTGGGTAAGCACGAAGCTTAATGAGTTTCCCAAAATATCATATATCACAATACATATACATGCATACAAACAATGGCTCACGACCTTTCGCCGATCCACCATTTGGTTCACAAACTTTCGTCGATCCACCAATAATATGTGTATCTAGACTTACGACTTTCCTGTCATTTCGTCGTCAGCACGGGCTTATAGACTCCCGACCTATCGAGGTTCCGTCGTCCACCCCTCACTTAACCGTAACGAATAGCTCAAGTGTGACATTCCCAATTTTCATGGTCTGAAAAGACCATTTCTATGATTTATTAAAAGCATAATTTTTCCCATAAAAGTATTTCCGAAGAAACATTTTTCATTGATTTATTAAAAACTTGGGATATCATAACTAATACAAAACATAAGCATAAAGGTAATCATTACAAACCTTACATTAACTTATTGTACTAATGGTCTAAACTCTTCGATTCTCTTAGTGGATTGTACATCCATGTCGCTACCTGTGATACAAAGAAACTGAGTGGGTCGTACTTAGGAGTCTGGTGAGCACATAAGATTTTCAACCCACAATAATATTATTTATTTTTCTCAACAAACAATTAACCCGATTACCCGTTCCCGTTATTCACTCTCTGATCCTAAAATGCTAAACTTAAGAGACCTACCCTAAAGGATCTCTATGAGTATACAATATTGCTTCGGGGAATCTGTAGCAATATGTGTCAATAAGGCAACCCTGCAAAAACAACAAAAACTAAAGCAAACATATAATAGTGGATTCTAAATTGTAACCAAGCGTCACCTATTGGTTATATGCCCGATTCATAACTAGAAAGTTTGAGGGGGTAGAGTACCCAAATGAACAACCTTCCTAGTGACTAATGATGGTCTAGATTCCTCATTAATCCTAATATCTACATCAAGATCTATCAAGTAAGGAACAACCAAGTATGATCATATCAGATGTAATGTTTGTTTGGTATACATAGTATATTGTTTGTAAATCCCACTTTAAACATATAACTAGATCTAGTATAGACATCGTCCATGTAAGTAGATCAATCAATATAATGACTTGGAATCACTGATAATTTTTTTTTATAAATTCATAATGACGACTATGTTGGATCGTTGTGTTTAAGCCAATAACTAAATTGATATATTCTTGAATTAAAAGCAAAGTCTTTTTTGAGTTGCCCTCATAACCAGTAACTTGATAGAATGAGTTTGGAGAGAGAGGTTGATTTATTAATTTATTATATGTTTAATAAATTAAAATAAATGATATATTAATATATTATATGATTAATATATTAACTTGAAATAATAATAATTAATTAAGAATTAATCAGAAATTAAATGGAGTTAATTTCGGGTTAATTGGAACTAATTGGATATATAGGGGATAAGCTGTAATTGTTCAATAGTTGAAAAAATAGGGTTTATAGATCCTTCTAGGCATGGACGGTTTTGGCTAGGCTTTTAGGTTTTCTACATTAATATTATTAGATAAATAAGAAGTAGGATAATTACTTAATTCAAGATATTATTATTATATTCAAATTAGGGTTATCTAATGATTCCTTATCGGCTATAAATAGGACCCCTTAGGGACTTATTTTCATTCACTCTTTTTCTTCCTCATCATATCTCCTTAAGTCTTCTAGTTACTAGGGTTTTGAGTACTAATCATTAGAGGCATTCAAGGTTTTGGTGCTTTCATTCCAAGGAACTTCAGGAGGATTTTGATTTGATTATTTTCTATGATAATCAAAAGGTATGTAAACCCTAACCTTATGTAAATTTTGATTTTCATAGCCTCTCTCTAGGGTTTCTTGATATTCATTGTTTTTCCATCAATAGAGAAAACATAGATCCAAACTAGGTTGCATGTGAACTTAAGGGTTAAGTGTTTTTCCACGCATATGTATTTTTTATAACCTAGAAAACCCATCAGTGGTATCAGAGCCTTAGTTTTTCTATTAGATTATACATAATAGTGAATAGATCAAAATTAGGGTTTATGGAAATTAAACCATAATGGGTTGGGTTCTTGAAACCCTAACCTCCACCCCTTATTTTTGAAAATTGTTAGGTATCCCTTAGGGTTTCTAGTTTCCTTAATTACAATTTTAAATGCCTTAAAATTTAGATAATTAAAAACCTAGTAACCCTAATCCCTTGTTTTCTAAAATTATAAGGGTTTTGGGATTATGATTAAATTTGAATTATTCTATTAATTGTTTAACTGAAGATAATTATGTAATCCCTTATGATTTAAATTTGAATTATTTTATTAATTGTTTAATTGAAGATAATTATTTGGTTAATTTAAAAAATTAGTTTTAAACCTAGTATTTTGAAAAGTTTTAAACTACACCTTATATTATATATGATTAAATGTTTAATATATTATATGTATAAGACAAGTCGGTCAACCAATAGTAGGCCTCATTCACGAAGTCATGCTATAAGGGGTATAAGGAAACGACCTATAAAATGACCGTTGAATGGGTGTCTATTCTCACCCACTGCTCCCTTACGTGGTGGGGATTTGTTACCCGAACGAGTTGATAGGACATAACCTCTTAAAATTATGATGCTATTAAAGTACTAGATCCTTTTTATATAAATCCCAGCTCTAGTTACTTTAGGAAAAGTGTGAAGTGTATGCTAATCAATGAAAACGCACATCACTCTTTATATGCCGTTAGTGGAGCGTGCATGGTTCACCGACACACTAATCTGGGACTATAAAGTTGAGTGATGGAAAAATAAAAAATTATCATTGTTGATGGAGCGTGTTTAGTTTACCAGCACATCAATTTGAGTATGATAAATGATATCGAGGTTGTCTAGCGAGTTTGCATGATTATTCACATCTTATTTGTGATCATCGGTATCTCAGTCACAAATTGAAGAGCATAATATAATATTAAACGTGTCATTTGTAAGATTCAATGAATCTCAATTCACTTAGGAATTTCATATTAGATTAAAATTGGTAAGTTTGTATTACCTACCTTAATAAATTCACAATTAGATTACGACATCCCTCTTCTTTGTTGTGAATTGTGTTTTGGATCCTAGCCTTGAATATTTATTTTGGGTTAAATTATTAAATATCTATATAACTTACTAAAACTATGTCTCTTTATATAGATGCCTGGAACCAGTGACCTCGCTACTACTTAAGCTACTACTCCCCAACCGAACTTCACTATTCTCTCGATCTTGTTAAAGGAGAAGCTATCTGGTCCTAACGACAAGGACTGGATGCGTAACCTCAAGATGACTCTTAGGTATGTGAACAAATAATACATTCTCGAAAATCCTCTCATTGAGATCGATCATTCTACCACTACTCTTGAGGAAATTGCGACCTACAATAAACACTCTGATGACATCGCTAAGGTTACTTGCATCATGGTGGCCACTGTGGCACCTGAGCTGGCCAAGTTCTATGAGGACTATTGGCCCTATGAGATGTGCATCGATCTTGCTGATAAGTTTCACAAGAAAGCGAGACAAGAAACGCAACAAAGTGGTCAAGTCTCTGATGGCATGCAAGCTCAAGGAGGGAGAATCTGTTTATGATCACGTACAAAGAATGCAGAGATACATGGAGCATCTAGAAAGGGTCAATGTGTCATTTGACAAGGATTTTGCCATTGACGTGGTCCTCAACTCTTTTCTTCCTAGTTATGATCAGTTTGTTCTAACTTATCATTTGAACAACATGGAGA